CAAAATGTGTTAGCACCAGTCACAATTGCAGTGTTGGCGGCCATGGTCTTTCCACACTCGCCACAGCTGGGGATTGAAACTAGGTCGCTCTAGAGCCCTGAGCTTTTCCACACACAGCATCAGGACACGGCACTGACAGTGGGCTATTTTAGCAATCTCTTATCAAAAGCCTCCAACGAATTTAACAAGCAAAGCCAGTAGAAAATAAATCTTGTGGGTTTTGTCGTAGCAGAGGGAGAAGGATGCAGTTTTAAACGCGTCGCTCAATCCTGAGCCGAGTTTCATCTTGTGTTTTCAGAGCACTGAAGAAACAGATGGGCTGCAGAATCAGGAGAGGGGTCAAAGAAGAGCAACGCTGGTCTGAGCTGAAGTGTACTTCAGTTCAATCTGAACGATGTCAGTCTACATCCAACCATATCTGAACAGATCCCACCAGAACCAGAGTTTCAGTAGACCTGGATGGAGTAGCAGGGGCTGGTTTCAAATCACAATAACTGCTGATTTGCTGCACTGCTTCAGACCCCCACTGGAATAATGCTTTCACTGGGACAGGTCCACCGGCCTGTGAGTGTGTGACGGTGTCTCTGTGTATACTTGAGGAAAAGATCTGCATTATAAATATAATTGTTCTTGACCAGCACAATTCACAAAATATTTTGTACAGTGCAGTGCTTTAATTTGTAACTAAGTCAGTTGTGTTTTGTGTTTGTCTCTCAGCGAAAGTGTAAAAAACAAAACAATAAAACTGCGTCGGAGTGTTTTTGTATGTACTCTAAGAGCCTCTTTCTTCTCTGGGCAAGAAGAGACCCTTTCTGTCGGCCTGCGTTGTACATAGACTGTGAATGGAAACGAGATCAGAGGTCTTGTAGATCGACTGTAATGTTACATATGTAATGTAAAGTGGGAGAGGAGGAGCTTTTAGTCATGTTGGATTTGTTTTTGTGAGGTTTTTTGAAACTGATTTAAGAAAACCATGGATGTTCACGCAGTAGAGTTTTTTCTTTACTATCGTTACTCTTTACCGTTACTAAACCAACATTTCTGGTGTGTTGTTAAATAACCTGCTGAAATAGTGCAGTTAGTCCAGCTATAAAGAATTTAGTCTTTGGAATTGCTCAGTTTTTATTTATTTATCTTTTTTTGTGGATTACTCAAAAAAAATAATAAAATTTCAGTTAAGTTAAAGAACTAAACTAATAACACAAAAACACTTTTGACATCAGTAAGAACCACAACCGAATTCATGCTTTCTGTAGCTGCATAAGAGTCGTCAGTGACACGCAGGGTTTAGGGAACATCAACAAAACGATACTTTTGGGATGTTTCGATTCATTTTTCATTCAGTTTTTGCTTCAGTGCTTTTGTTCTACAAATTCTCATAAGTTGTAGAAGTCCTGCTGTCCTTTGGGGGGGACTCTTTCAGGACTCCACATTGTGCTTCTGTTATGATCTTTACAGAATACTTGCCACAATGAGTCGTCCTGAATTTACTCAATTTGTGCTTTTGCAAATGGATCAACACAATAGTCTTTTGCATTGATTGTAAAAATCACCACAGCAGTTTGCTCTGGGTGCTTTATATTGGAAAATACAGACTATACAATATTACCCCTCTACCAATGCCAAGCAAGCATTTGACAATGCTGGAAGAAACTCCTCTCTTTAAAGAGACTTCATCCAAGTGACGAACACTACAAACGCTACGTCCACATGAACAGAGTCAACTTTTGGGGAATAGTAGGACTTCTTTGTGCATTTTTGAGGGAGTAAGCTTTTAAGAGATACAGAGCAAGTAAATACTGAAGTTAACAATTGAAAGCACCACTCAGGTGCATCCCAGCTGGTACTGTAAGGGTTTGCTCACTGTTTTCAATAAAGATCTGAAAAGTTTCAATGTTTGCATTAGTTTAGTCAGATTGAGTTTGTTTCTACTTTGTGAAGATGGACCACATTTTTAGTTATAAATTCAGAAATTCCAAATTGTTCACATCTTTCTTCCAACGTCTGTATGCGCTGAAGAAATACCTCTGAGACAATGCTGTATGTGCAACACTTTTAGGAGATGGTGCCATTGTATCGCTGTACTGAAGAGGTTTCAATGACACAGTGAAGCCTAAGTGAAAATGATGCTTTATCTTCAGCTTAGCAGTTGTACCGAAGTCCAAAGAACTGAAGTTTTTAAGATTAAAAATCTTAATTGTGATAATGTCCTAAACAAGTAAAAGTAACAAAAGCACAGGCTCTGAATTGTACTCAAAGTAAGTTTGCTCTTTGCTCCTTGAAGGACGGTTTTACTACCAGCTGTTTTTATGCAAGGGTAACTCAGCCTTGTGCTATATTAATATAATAATAAAATAATATTAGTACATAAGAATGCAAATTGAAATTCTAATTCTAATGAATGTACTCAGCTTGAATCTATTATGTAGGACACAAGCAGTAAAGCGGAATTTGAAAAAAATAACCATTTTCTGTTGCCTACATCGTAGACGGTGACTTTAAATTAAATTAAGATCCTTAAAACCCAAGTAGCTCAACATGGGGAAAAGAATCATGACTCATAATCATTTCTATTGTGTGCTCCAGTAAGTTTTCTGTATACAGCTGGTATAAAGGTGCAATTCAGTTAATTTACCATCATCATTAAATGCAAATTAATCTTGATGTAATCTGACACTTACCATGAGCACCAAACCAACACAGGGCTTCACTCTGAAATCACCACAGTACTACAAGCTAACCTTTTTATCCAGAACAAAAGTACCAGTATTGTCATGCAACATTTCAACATCACAAAGTTACGTTTCAAGAGGTGAGATTAAGAGAAAATGTCTCCCTGACTTAAGATGTAAAAGGTCTTAAAAGCCACCGTTTTATGATTAAAGTGAGTGCTATGGAGGGTTTCTGTGTGTGATTTTGCTAATACTTCAGCTGCTTAAATTTAATCAAAATATAATCAAACATTAGTCTAATAAAATATAATTAGAAAAGTCGAATGAGAATTTAATCATTGGAATGAAATGTTTTTAATACCCGAGTTCTGACATTTTACTGATATTGTGTCTGTACTTCTTTGCTGGGACTGTGTCGATGGAGAATGTAAGTAAGTAAAACTGTATTTATATGGCACCTTTCTAGATAAAAAGATCACAAAGTGCTTCACACAGGGATGAAACAAAAACAGACAGAAGTTAACAAAATGCAATTCTAAAAAGACGTTTTTTAGTTGTCCACAGATCTTAAGCTCAGTGGGAGAGAGTTCCACAGTCTGGGAGCCACAGTGGCAAAAGCTGTGTCTCCCTTAATCTATCACCCCAGAACAGGGGTGATAGATTCTACACCAACTTACATTGTCTTCCTATTAAATACCGAATTGATTTTAAAATTTTATTGTTTACTTATAAAATCCTAAACAATATGGCACCTGACTACCTAGCTGATCCCCTCTGTTTGTGTAGCCCGCAGAGAGCGCTAAGATCATCGGGCCAACTGCTCTTAGTGCAACCTAGGTCTCGGCTGAAGACCAGAGGAGGCCGTGCCTTTGCCGTTGCCGCACCCAGGTTATGGAATACTCTTCCTCTTCATATTCGCGCATCAGATTCCATTCAGTCTTTTAAATCACGTCTAAAAACGTATTTGTTTAACCTGGCATTCAAGGCTAATTAGGGAAATTTACATCTGGCTTTGCATTTAGATTATGTAATTATTTTATATTTTAATATCTGTAATTTATATTTTATATTGTGACTTTTTATCTGTATCATGATTTTACTGGAAAGCGCTTTGGTGTACTTCGGTCTTTAAAATGTGCTATATAAATACATTTTGATTGATTTTTGATTGATTAGTTCTCTGCCTTGTAGGCTGAATAACCAATAGGCCCTGATCACATGACCTCAGAGACCTGCTGGGGACATAGGGCTGTGAAAGTTCAGTGATGTAGGCTGGCGCTTGTCCATGAAGAGCTCTAAAGGTCAGAACCAGAATCTTAAAATGGACTCTGAATTCGATGGGGAGCCAAAGCAGCTGTGTTAGCAACGGTGTCACATGAGAGTACTTAGATGTTTTGGTCAGAAGCCTTGCTGCAGCGTTTTGGACAATCTGCAGTCGCTCCAGGGAGTCCTTGTTAGACATGTAAAGAGGGAATTACAGTAGCCCAATCGTGATGAAATGAATGCATGGACAACAATCTCCAGTTCAGTACGAGATACAATAGGACTTAATTTAGAAAAGTTTCTTAAATGATAAAAGCAGGACTGAACCAGACGTGAACAGAGTGAGATCCGGGTCAAAAGTTACCTCTATAAATGTTGAAAGAGGACCAAGAGCATTCATTATGTCAGGTCTGTCAGGAGCACATACAAGGACTTCAGTCTTTCCTTCATGAAGTTGGAGGAAGTTGTCAGCCATCCAACCTTTGATGGATTCTAAGCACTAATTCAGAAGCTTAGAAACATCTTGGGGTTTATAAGAAATGTATAACTGGATATCATCTGCGTCGCAGTGGTAACAAATGTCCTCAAAACGCCAATATTTCAGCCTCTCAAGCTGAATGTGATGGTTAACGGTCACAAAGGCCGACATGAGGTCCAACATCAGGAGAACAGAACATTTTCCTGCATGTTAGACTGAAGACTGTTTCAGTAGAACGAGCTCTGCAAAAGCCAGACTGATATTTGTCAAGGATATTGGGTTTGACGGTATTTTTGAGATTGGCCTGTAAGTATTTGGCAGCATTTTTAAAATAAGCAGGGACTTTACCAGACACCGGTGAAGTGTCAATTATGGTGAGCACACAGGGGCCGATAGACTGGAAGACATTTTTGAGTAACGATGCAGATAAAATGTCAAGTGAACAGGACGATGCTTTCATTGAAAACTACTTTTACCAGCTCTGGTAGTGAGATGGGTAAGAAACGTTCTAAGATAACAGGCCGAGCTGGAGAAGGAACCGACTATGCAGATGCTGATGGGGACAATTTTTTTTTCTTACATCACTATTTCTTCTAGAAAGAAAGAAAAAAAATGTAAACATGGCACCCAGGCCAGATCTTGTCTGAACATGTCAGGATAACTAGGCAAATATTCAGAGAAAGTAACAAATTCAGACTTCAAAAAGGCGAGAAGAAGCATAAATGAGCCACATCTGTTTTATCTCAGTTTAGCAGATTCTTTATGTATGTATACATGAACCATTCTGAACATGTTTTGGTTTCTTAGGTGTTGTAAGAACATCCTGTTCCTCTTCAAAGTGTAATTTCCTGCAGCAACTTGACAGATGTCAAAGCGACAACAAACCACAACATCACCGCTTTAGCTTGTTTCACTTTACTGATCTGGAGCATGGCGAGTGCAGTGGAGAGGTTGCTGTGGGCCTGCATTATCCTGGATTCTGGTGTGCGCTCGATTTCACTGCCAGAAATCAGTGATTTGAAGTTCATTGAGGAATGTGTGAAGGAGCACAACTTGGCGCGGTCATCTGTCAGTCCCCCTGCTACCGACATGCTGTACATGGTACGTGAAGAAATGGCGTTTGTTTCCTCTCTCTAGTTCTGGAAAGCAGTAATAAAATCACAGTGAGTAAGCAGTGATAGAAAAAATGACTTGTTCATGTCTTCTGTGATCTGTCTGCAGACTTTGTTGGGAATGAGGAGGTGAGGGAAAGAAAGTTATTAAAGCATGTACAGTTGTACAAAGCTTCATGCAACACATTCACACATGACGTTATTAAGCAGAAGTCAGAGGAAGTAATGTAAAAGACAGACAAAGCCACCGATAGTCACAGGTAGAAAAGATCTTCGGTAAGTAAAAAAATAAAGAACAGTTCGGTGACAACAAAACTGTGCAATAGATTGCACTCAAACTGCCTTTCTGGCATGGCTAAAGTGCACTGCAAATGTTGTGGCAAAAACCTCGCCACAAGTTTGGAAGTCGACTCAGCCATTTGACTTTTTACTTCTGCTTGTGTATCACAAATGTAATGTACTGACTTAGAAAAACAGTGAGGAAGTCAGAAATGTGTATGCACGAAAATGAAACTAGTGTGTTAGAAAAAACTGAATTAACAAAAGATGAGGTCTAATGCTTCAAATCTTCTGTATCTGCTTATCCAGACGTGGGATGAGGCCTTAGCCATTACTGCGAAAGCGTGGGCAAAGCGCTGTATATTTGATCACAACATTTACCTCAAAGATGCTTCCCGCGTGCACCCTACCTTTCCCTCTGTGGGAGAAAACATATGGACAGCCCATCCACCATCACAATTTAATACATCAAAAGCCATAAAGAGATGGGTGGATGAAGTAAAAGACTACAGCTACCAAGAGAACAGCTGCAATAAGGTTTGTGGCCACTACACACAGGTATGTGACCTTTCTACTGCACGCATAATGTGGAGAAAAAAAAGAGAAAAAAGTGAACCATGATTTGTATATTTTTCTGCATGTGACACTTTAACCTCTTTGGTCTTTGCAGGTTGTGTGGGCCAGCACCTACAAAGTTGGATGTGCAGTACAGCTGTGCCCAGATGGCATCAAGCACTTCACTAATAAAAAAGGTGTCCTCTTTGTATGCAACTAAGTTGAAAACATGTTTAAATAACACAGTGAAATTAGCAAATGAAAACTTTTGTCTCAGCAGGTTATTCTGGGCTGCCCTGAGTGTCATGTGAAAAAAGGAATTTGTTTATACGTATGTGTTATGCCGCAGTCAACTCGTCCTGCTGTGAGAGTACCCACAGGAACTAGAGCCAGGGTGGGCAACTCCAGGCCTCGAGGGCCGGTGTCCTGCAGGTTTTAGATCTCACCCTGGGTCAACACACCTCAATCAAATGGTTCGTTCGTTACCAGGCCTCTGGAGAACTGCAAGACATGTTGAGGAGGTCATTTAGCCATTTAAATCAGCTGTGATGGATCAAGGACACATCTAAGACCTGCAGGACACCGGCCCTCGAGGCCTGGAGTAGAAAGACTGAGCATATCTCTCCCATACTGGCTTCTTGTCATTGGCTCCCTGGCCCCGTCTTGTCTCAAAAACCTTATGAAAAGTTACCTCCTTTGCACAGTGTCAGCTTACAGCACTTGTTGCTGCTGAGTTTGCATATTTTGCTGTGAAGTACAGCCAGACTTTTGACCGCTTCGCCTTGGGCATTTTTAATCTGTAGCTCTGCTCTAACAGAACGTACGTACTTGGGCCCGCCTACTATCCTTGAAAAGGTAAAATGATTGGCTAGAATTCAAAGTGTCTGACATCTCAGGGAAAATAAAGCACAGAAATAAAGCACCAAAATGTGCGCTGCTTTTCGGTCTGGTTACTACCGTTTATGTCAGAAGCGGTGCCACAATGGCACTGGATACCGGTACCCATCCCTAGTCATAACTTCTTACCTGAAGTTCAGTTCACCTGACGCTCGGACCGGCGGCCACCTCGGGTCTCTGCTCCTCCTGCCTAACCTTTCCCTCATCCACCTGCTGGTCTCTGTGGAAGCTCCGCCATAGCCACCACCAAACAACTGAGTTATTTTTACACACCGGTCAGCATCTGGACAATCCACCACCTTTCACTGTTTATACCGTCACAAAAAAACCCCCAAAAAATCATCGGCCCATAAAAACTAAAAATCACCATCGGCCCACCAGGCCTGGTGGGCCGATGGCCAGTCCAGCTATGGTCTCTCCCTGACAATGTGATGCTGGATGTCTGCCGTTCTGAAACTCCTGTTTGCAGAAGACAGACTACAAAATCTTACCTGGGACGATGTGTTCTAACCCCGTTGTTTTATGGAAGTCATACAAACGAAAATAGTCTGTAAAAAATATCATGCAGTATGATTCAAAGGTGAAATTTTAAAGACTAAGGAAAGTTTAGGGCCAGTCTGCAGCAGCCTGGGCCAGGCAGATCCTCATGTACTAATGACAAGTGAATGAACTGAAAAAGGGAGCAAGGGTGCAGTTACAATGATCTGAGACACTTTTTAAAATTAATGTCTGTTGTTTTTATGAATGGCCACAATTAATTATGGGACAGTGTTTTCTCCTCCCCTTTCATAAAGGTCCAGTGTATCCTATGCTAAAGGAAGCATGTTTTTAGCAAGGATGTTTGTAGCTCCTGAATTGGAACAGCTCTTAGTATGGATGCCACACAGATACTCACAGGCCACTTCTCTCACTTTTAGGACCCTCCCTAAGCAGCATGGACTGTTGTTAATAACTTAACACTGTGTGTTAAGTTATTAATAATCTTTGGCTCTTTTCCATAGTTTCACTTTTATCCTGTCCTTCTCCCCAAACCTTTTTTGTGGTATAAAGAGGTTACTATAAGCAGAAAGTACTGAGAAACAAATTAATATCACTGATTTATATGTTTTTCTGGGATCTTTTGACAATAACAATGAAAGAAAAAAACGTCATCTTTAAAATGACCCTATGTTGAAGCAAGCAGGTGTGTGTGTGTGTGTGTGTGTGTGTGTGAGTGTGTGTGTGTGTGTGTGTGTGTGTGTGTGTGTGTGTGTGTGTGTGTGTGGTGTGTGTGTGTGTGTGTGTGTGTGTGTGGTGTGTGTGTGTGATAACGTGGGAGGCGGAGGTAAGATGATAAGGGGAAGTGAAGATAATTCCAGAAATTTTCCACCTAGAGTGTGGTGAGGTGACTGAGCCTGTTTCTTTTCTTTTACAGGGGTAATATAATCGGACAGCACCCATATGCATCTGAGGGGGGAGCCTGCTTGAGGTGCAGCGGCACTTGTGAGAATAAACTCTGTCGTAAGTATCAAGTGTCTCTGGTTCAGTGTGAAAAGTTGCTGCTTATCTTCAATCAAACCACAAGTTCAAATTTCAGCCCAGCTCATTTTAAAGATGTGAAAATTCTGATTAGAAATCAGCATGGATATTAACTCTTTAACACAGTGGGCCTCATTAACTGACATTTGCACAGTAATGTTCTTGCTGTCATTTTCACAAACCTACAGGATTCATGAATCATGTCCTGTGTCAGCAAATGTGACTCACTGTAAATAAACAAGTTCATGCGTGCTGTCTGAGGGTTGTAATCTGCAACCTGGAATGCTCACCGTGCATGCTGCCCAGGCCCTCTGTTATAGGAAAACACATTTATGGTGGTGTGAAGGAGCTCCAAGAGAAAAACTCACATCCCTTCATCAAAAAAGCAGAATTCTGACTAAAGGAGGCCAAAAACGGTGGCACGGTGGTTAGCACTGTTGCCGCACAGCAAGAAGGTCCTGAGTTCAATTCCACCATCAGGTCTTTCTGTGTGGAGTTTGCATGTTCTCCCCGTGTTTGCGTGGGTTCTCTCCGGGTACTCCGGCTTCCTCCCACCGTCCAAAGACATGCAGCTTGTGGGGATAGGTTAATTGGATAATCCAAATTGTCACTAGGTGTGAATGTGCGAGTGAATGTGAGTGTGAATGGTTGTCTGTCCCTGTGTGTTAGCCCTGCGACAGACTGGCGACCTGTCCAGGGTGTACCCCGCCTCTCGCCCTATGACAGCTGGGATAGGCTCCAGCGCCCCCCGCGACCCTGAAAAGGATAAGCGGAAGCGAATGGATGGATGGATGGAGGAGGCCAAAAACGTCAGAGTGTTTTCTTGGAAGTGACACTGGTTTTAAACATTTTTTAAAGTATTTAATAATAATATAAAACCCCACTTGGACTGCATGTATCTCCTGAAACTAAAAAGAGAAAAGGTATGACATAAAAGCTGGTGTAGGACAAACTTATAAAAGACCAAACAAAAAGAAGGAAGCAGGTGGAGGACGGGGCGCACCTAATCTTCCACCATGACTAACCCCCTTATCTTTTTACCATGAACCATGAGGTCCATTTTACATCCTCTCTTTAAATGACCGTAACTTGGTTACCGTTGCAAAATTCAAATGGTTTCAGAAAAAAGAGACAACAAGCTTCATGGTGATGTTCACTTTAGCACAAGGCAATCACAGGGTAGCGTCTGAACAGAGACAGGGAACTCCGCTCCGCCCAGGTTTGCTTCACATTTCTGCAACTCCTCAACTATTTTGGGCTCGAGAGAAAATTACATTTTTTTCCTATTATTTTATAACCAAAGTCACTAAATAAGTCTAAGTAGCCTGTATGCTACTTGGATGATTAAGGATTAATGAATGCGGTAAAATACAGTTATTACTCACAGTCATTGAGCTGTGCGTTTACATCTTAAAAAATGTCATCTTGTTCTCATGTGTCTTAATGTTGTTGCAGGTAGTCCTGAACGTGATTCACAGAAAAGTAAGTCTGATGGTGATTAAGGCAAAAAATAATAGCAGTGAAGGGTGGCTTTAAAAGTCCACAGCTGAAGTTTGTCAGTGTGTAGTAATGAAGTAAGCAGCACAGATTCTGGACTCAGAATTTGTCATAAAAACCATTTTTGCATTTCCAGGCTACAACTGGAGCCCAGACTGGGACACCTCGGATACCAGCAGCTCTAGCTCTGTCAGCGTTCTGATCGCTCGGCCGGTTGCCCTCAGCTTCACTTTCATTACAGCGTATGTAGTCCACTACTTCTACCCTGATGCATTCTGCTATGAATAAAGCAGCTTGGCCTGAGCAACACTGATTTCCTTTAGACATTAAGCAAATTATTCTGTCCATGTGAGGCTTCGGCCCACAAATGTAACATGTATGAAAATTAATAAAATTACTTTTATCTCTGCTTAATTATTATCAACTATCAACTCCACTATCAGTCTCACATTATAGCACCAACGACAAAGTCAGTGCTCAAAAGTAATCTTTCATTTGACAGCACGTTTAAGGTGGTCAGGCCAGAGATGAATGGCCAGACTGCTACGAGCTGATGACAACAGTGACTCGGCCACGCGTTCAAAAGAGCATTTTTAAATGCACAACACAAACCTTGTATCAGTTGGGCTCCAGTAAGAGCAGAATGGGGGATTTGCACCATTCATGTACAGACAAGCAACTGTGTGATGCCGTCATGTCAATATGGACCAAGATCTGTGGTCACTAGGTGGTCCAGCACGTGGTTAACGTCCACGATACTCCCAAAAGTATTCGCTCATCTGCTTTCACACACACACACACACATGAACTTGAGTGACATCCAGCTGCAGAGTGGGGGGCACAGTTAGGCTCAGTGGGTGAACAGGCGACCATATGTCTTATAGCCAGAGAGCAGTAGGCCTGGGTTCAACTCTTCTAGGAAGTTTTTTTAAATGAGAATTTGTGGCCATTCTTCCAGAAGCCCTTATGTGAGGTCAGACACTGATGTTGGATGGGAAGGCGTGGCTCGCTGTTGCTAATTCATCCCAAAGGTTTTCTGTTGGACTGAGGTCAAGACTCAAGTCAAGTTTACTCACACCTCACTTGCTTGTCCAGGTCTTTCTGGACCTTGCTTTGTGCACTGATGCACAGTCATGTTGGAACAGTCCCTAAACTGCTCCCACAAAGTTGGGGCCATGAAAATGTCTGTAGTGATCGACTCTAAAGAAAGATGGTGATCTCTGCATACTCTGCGCCTCGCCACTTGGATGTAATACCATTCAACAGTTTACTGTGAAATATTTAGGAGCATAGCATTCCTGAGAGCAATCCATTCTTTCACAAATACAGGTAGAAGCACTCTGCATGCCCAGATACTTGACTTAATACACCTGTAGCCATGGAAGTGATTGGAATGCCTTATTCCCATTATAGTGCAAATCAAAGAAAGCACTTCAGAAGGCAAAAAGGGTCCAACCCAGGCCTTGAAAGGTGTGCCTAATAATGGGTGTATTTCTTTAAGGTTTTGGAGACTGGACATCTATGGTAACACAGCAAAAATGGAAATTAAGGGAAATGTAAGAAAACAAGACCTAGTTTATTTAAAAAAGAAAAAATAACTCCTTTAATTTTACATTTTTTTCCTCTGGAAATAATTAATAGCAAGCGAGTCAAACAGAAGGAAAAAACCAACACATTCCCGTCACTGTGTAACATGTAAAAAGGAAAGTCAAGACAGACGAAGCATCATCTTGATCCACGCTCTACACATTCACTGAAATTCTTCTTGCTGTGAGCTCAGAGTCTTTTCTCTGTCCAACAAGTGCCACAGCACAGGGAACAGTGCACAGTTAGCCTTTGCTTTTCGCTTTGTTGCTCTTCTTCTTCTTCTTTTCAGTGGTGCTGCTGGTGGGAGGTGCAGGGTTTAATGGTGGAGCACCCAGTTTCTTTGTTTTGGCTTTTTTTACTTTGTCCTTTATAGCTTCGATGTCCAGCTTGCCTTCTGTAGGAGCTGTGGATACATAGAGGAGACAAGAATGGACAAATTAAGGGCAAAGCTATACCAAGTGCTCAAGAATCCAGGATTTTCCTTTAATTTGTCACTGCTAGGTTCTGAGATCAGTGCTTGTTTTAATATTTCTACCTTTAGCAGTCTTCTTCATCAGAGGCTTCTCTTTAGGAGGAATGAAGGCTTTGTTCCGCTCTTCTTGCTTCTTGGTCAGTGCGGTGGCCTGTTTCACCTACAAAGAGGAAGGAAGTTTACAAAGGCGACGTTACACAATGCTTGGTTGCTGCCACTGAAACTCAAAAGCAGCCTGAAGAAAACCGAAAGAGACAAAGCCACCATAAATTCTCACCTTGATTTCTTCCATCTTCTTCCTTTTCTTCACACTCTCCCGCAGGAAGAATTCTCCTGTGGCCAGCTCCTGGTCAACCTGCATAGGAAGTCCACATATTTGAAACGTACTTTAAATTGCCTCAACATGCAATTTAGTCTCAGCGGTTGTGTGTGTTTGTTATACATTAGAAACACTGAAATTCTTCAACCATGCTTCCCCTGACCTTGCTCTCTGGCTGTGGAGGAGGGAACGGGGTGTACTCCTTCTTCACGCTCTTCTTCTTGGGTTCCTTGCGCTTGGCAAGATTCTTGTGTCGGAACTTGGGCAGAAAGCGCTCCCAGTTTTGCACCCGCAGTTCGGGGTCTTTGGACAGCTCCCGTTTGATCATCAGAGTCTGATGGTTGCAGCCGTGGGTGGTGGTGATGGAGGGGCAGAACAGCAGTTATAAAGATGCAATACTTTGGTCATGTTGTGTATTTACACCTTATGTAGTGACTGCAGTAAAATGCTGTTTTATTAAAGACTGCACTGTGCAAAAGTCGCTTATTTCGTTTTTTGCTAGAAAACTGGGAAATAAGTGCAGCGGTAAGTGGAGGGATTTACTGAAACGTGCAAACATAAATGGAAACCAATGAAACCAAAGAACATTTCCAACAAGTCAACGTCTCAGAGGAAATTCCAAGGCTCTTCTTTTGTTCTGTTCACAAGATGATCCCACACAGTTTGAATAGCACTGATCTGCTTTTCCATCAGATATGCTTTTACTTAGAGCTGGGCGATATAAGATTTTTTCATTTCAGGCGATAACGATATCTATCACGATATCAGCCAAATAACTATATTTGTAAGATTTAAATGTGCCGTTGCTCACAAGTAAAATGTGAAATAATCAGCAGCTTGTTTTTATTTAAATATTTGTTTCCCATAATAAGTTCAACAGGGTAGATGTACTTAAGGAACATGAGACTTTTTCAGATAAATAAAGGCAAATATTGCAAACTACACAAAAGGCAGCCGCTAAAGCGTTTAAGTTTCAAAATAGAACAAACGAAACAGACTAAACTGTCAATTCCACTTAGAAACAAAATATGAATTCTAAAAATAAATCTTAGTTTGTTTTACAGAAGAACAGACAAAACTGACTAACTTTTGTCAACATTAAATAAACTGAGAACTAAAAGGAAATTCTCAATCTCTCCTTGTTGTGTAGCTGAGCTTTTCAAACAGCTGTAACAGTTACGTTAGTCTGACAAAAGCCGAATGACGAATCAGCGCTTCCAGTCAGAGACTGAGCTGCACCAGTTTATTGTATTTCCAGACTTGCTTTCGGCACATTTACAGTGCAGCTTCTGTTTTTGTCAGACTTGAAATAGCAGAAATACCTTCACACTACGGAGCTTCTGTGGCTCTTCCATTCGACAATCTCTCCGGCGTTGGAACCATCATCTGTGTTCTCTTCGGTAACCTTCGGTCACGCTCGGTTGATGTTTCTAGTCGGCGCAATCATTTCCTCCGTTACCCGGGCGGCACGGCGGCTGGCTGCTTCCCAAACAAATACACATGTGCGGCTTGGCACTTGTGCTGTACGTAACAAGTCACGTGATGCTGCGGCTGTGATTGGTTCGGCTCTGCGTTACTTAATTTGGATTGGCTGTTCTTTTTCTTTTTCTTTTCTTTTTTTTAAGAGCACAAGAGAGTGAGGTCTATCGCAATAGTTTAATTTTTCTATCGAGAAAAAGTTATTTCGCAACACATATCGTTATCGTTCTATCGCCCAGCTCTACTTTTCCTGCATTGGCAGTGAGTTTGAGATCGCTGTTATGTCTTCCAGATGGTAGTGCATGACAGCTCAGAATCTGAAGGTATTTTTCTGCAATCAGCAGACCACCACCAATTTTGACGAGACCTCCACCACTGAAACCACGACAGAACCTCCAGTGTGCTTTACAGACGCTGGAAACTCACTGTTGTATCTCTGTCCTAACCTCTAATACGGACAGGAACATTTAGAGTTTCAATCCATCAGACCTGTTGACATTTTTAGTTCAGGGCTTGTGTAATTTAACCCTTTTTCCCAGTTAATTTCCCTTAAGAATAGCTTCTTCAAAGCCTGGAAGGTTTTCAAGGAGGCATTATGTTGATGCCTGAACCAGCTCAACAGGTGATGTTCTGTTCAGGAGGAATATTTTTCTGTTGTAAAATATTGGAAAAACATTCCTATGAAAATGATCAGGTACCTCGACTGTAAAGGAATGAGGGAAGAAAAGACCCAATGAAAAGAAATGTAGAGCTACTACTCACACTTTTACAAGAAAGTCTGGCTCCATGGAAGTAAAATATATTAAAATGATGGCTGGCTAAAGACTTCTGCACAGTGCTGTAAGCTGTAACTACTGGTTAGGCAATTTAAATAACATTCTGTGACTCATACAAAACAGGAAGTCCTATTTTAAATAGTCAGCTCTGTGAAGCATGCCCTTTCATGCCCTCAGCTCTGGGCTGAGCCAACCTTGGCGTGCAAACCCAGAGAGATGGACTTCAGTCAGGAAATCAAGAACAAGGATGGAAAACATCATCACTGGGCATGAATGCAGCGCAGTTTCACTCTGACTATTGTTTCTGCAGCAGTTTGAACGCACCTTGATGTTGTAAATGGGATGAATGTTCTTCATGGTGTCCAACACCACTTTACGAACCTGAAAAGCAGAGGCAGAAGAAAATCATAAATGCTTCAACATTCTTTGCCTCATTACAGTCACAGTTCACCTCTCCATCAGGTTTAGCTAAACCCAAACTGAAGAGCGTTTGTATTACACCAACAACTTCTCTCTTTTACTCCCACGCATGAACCCACACAGTGGGCTCAGATGTTTAGCTGTCAGGAGGTTCTGTATACCCTGATGTCACAGGATAAACAAACACACTAAAGTAGTCAGCGTAGGCACCTTTTCATTAATACAACTGATCTTATTATGTTTAGTCACCCATTACTGACAGTCTTACCTCCTTTAATCCGCTGTAGGGTCCCAGTGCAGACACCGTGTTCCCCTGCACCATCACATAGCAGTTGGTCAGTAATTCCAGTGCCTGCAGAGAAGCAACAGGCAACATGAAGCACACAGACAGAACTTCAAAAGAAATCATCTGTTAACGAGAGTTGCAAAGACACATGGGCCGATAAATGCTGCCACCTACTGACGTTGATTCAAAAGTACACAACACAGACTTGTTTACATTGCAGACTGGTGAAAATCAGTGACACAGATGCACAATTCATGATTTAGAAACAAATTGGATTCTCCTACTTTTTCCTAACATCCATCACAACACTCTGTGGAAGCCGTGATTAACTTCAGACAGAAAGACCTCAGAAAGCTGGACTCTGGTGTGAGACTCACCTTTAGGGTGGAGCCTTTGGGGCCAATGAGCCGCTGCCTTCGCTTCACAAACCGCTCTCTACTCCTCACCATAGTGCCAATTTTGATGATGTCACAGGCGATGTCATCCTGTAATATTCTTACAGCCTGGAGGCAACAACACATCACCGAGGTATCAAAAAGTCTGCATCACTCTGAGTGCTTAGTGACAGCAATCACACACATACTCCAAAACATTAAAGGATGAAATCTACATGTTGTGCATGCCGCAAACTGGCACAGTAGTGTTACCTGTTCAAATGGCACACTCCTCGCCAGCAGCTTAATAAGATCTCTGGCTCTCACAATGGCATAAGGGTCAAAGGTCTTCTTAGTGGTGCAGACTGTCATGCTGCCTTCTATTAGGTCCAAAGAAGGTTTAATGTGCTGAGAACAACAACAAATGATTCAGTATGTGAACAGCTCAGGTCGGCAATTCAGCCTCGTAAAGCTGCCAATGTAAGAGCCAACTTAACACTTAACTGTGAGAAAATGTTACAGAGGAGAGAAATAAAACCAAAATAATGTGTGATAATAACTGGGGATGTGGCAGTGTTCAAAATGAATTCAAATATAGTTCAGCTGTAGGACTTTCTGACACTGTGGACCGTGGCCTTTGCTGAAAGATACAAAGAGCTTACAAAGCATCAAAGAAGTCTCACTGCTTGAAGGTGTCGTGGGCATCTTTAAACAGTGACACATTCCACAATTTCCAAGGCATTAAACATATGCTGACCACACAACCTCTCAGGAGGTTGTGTGGTCAGCATATGTTGTTGTAGTGATTTGGCCGAGTAAAAGAACACAAACTAACACATTTGGACCACTAGTGCTGAATTTCTCATTTCTATTCCTCCACTTACAAGATTTCAGTGTTTTTTCATTTGAACTTACAGGTGATAGGTCACAATAACATTTTAAAACCCTGAAATTATTTATCCTGGAACCTTTTTTACATTGTAAATCTGTTAACAGGGGAGTGCAGACTTTATATCCACTATATGTATACATTAATACAAGATAGCATACAACCTGATTAGACTAAAGAAAGTGGTAAAAAAAAGGTTTACTTCCTTCATTGAGCTACATTATAATTGAGATACAGCTGACAGACAAGTATTATCATCTGTGTTCAGTGCAAGCAGCTTGTTCTGACTCACCACCTCTCCTAAAGCCTTCTCCACCAGAGGCCAGCACTCTTTCAAGTAGGCCTCCCTGTACTTGGGGAAGAGGGTGGCAAAGCTACTCTCCTCCAGCAACCCGCGGGGGTTATCCTCTTTGGTGAACAGTGGCTCCTTCCATCCATCGGGAACTGTCAGGAGTTCGGATTCATCCACTGCAGGACGCACGTGAAGTCACGTTACTACCACGTTACTACAACGGAGGCATGGACTACCAACACGAGGTATACTTAAGCAAAGGGAACAGAGTGAGTTAGAGACAGAATATTGAAAAGATATACTGAAGGAACGCGGAGACACGTTTGAAATTCTCATCATCGACGTGTTCCCCTGGCTGAGGCGACTCAGGCTGCAGACTTTGGAAACGTGTTTGAATCCCGGCAGGTAATAGCTAGCTGCCCGGCGTCAGCAAACACTTGTCAGTTTAAGTATGTGAAAAGTAAATGTTCGGGTTATTTTTTCTTGATGCGACCATTTAGCGAGTGAGGGTAACTGCACTCACCAAACAATCTGTTTACAACGCGAGAGCCGCCATGCTAGCAGAACTCCAGCATGGCTCGCAGCCGTCGTCTGAAGCTGGGAAACAATCCTGTTCTTCACGCGGGACGGCTCGCTGGTGTCACTTAACCTCACCTGACGCGAAACAATCAAACTCACCTTGGCTTTTAGTCTTCTTCGATTTTTTCCCCGTTTGCTCCTCACTCACGCCGTCACTGGCTGTGGAGGACGCCATTGCTGAGAAGAAACGGAAGTGACGTACAGTACTCTTCCTGGTGCAACCTGGAGCGTCTACTAAAATAAAAATAAAAGCTTTCTAACATCTCACCTGTTTGTTTTTATTCAGGCAAACATGGATACCATTTTTAATGATAGAGCGATTAAGCTTGTGTTTCTGTCATGTAGTGATTGTGCTTAACTGTACGAAGCTTACTGTGTGAATGCTGCAGGTAGGGTTGCCAACTCCCTGAAAAATAAATAAGGGACACCTCGTGGCCAGGGCCGGGCGACCCAGTTGTCTTCACTCTTCCCAGTGTGGTGAATTTTCTAGCTCTTTTTTTGTGTGTGAAATTATTTTTTTAACCATTTGACTTGAATTTGATTTAAGCAGATGCATATTCTTTGTGATATGAACACATGTGAAACAAATGATCATTTAGCCATTTATTTTTAGCTCAAAATGACAACATTAACACAATAAAACAGGTCTCTTTCTTAAACAGAAGCCTGTCATGCTTAACTTTTGAGAATATAAGTAAATCTTTCTTTAAAAGAACTCTGTCCTGCTTAACTTAAAATTATATAAAAACAATAGAAAGAAAAACTATTCTGTAACAGTGCACATTAGTGCATTTAGTACAATTGGCTTCAGTCTGAGGTATTATTCGCTATCACTGCTAAGTTGTACCAGCTTGCTTCCCTGATTATCGCATCTAACTCATCATCATTATTCATCTATGTATTACTTTTATGTATTAGTCATCAATTTGTTGTAATCATCTATCCTTGCAGTTGTTTATTACACAAAATAAATTATATTATCACACTTCTGGCCACATAGCGCTGATATTCACTGCACATGCCCATATTAACTTTTTCCAGCCAGGTGTTTTCCTTTTCCCATTCTTCCCTTTCTCTGAGGGGAACAAACATGCTCTCTATGCTGGGCCACACTGTGCGGTTTTAGGCCCATTTTGAGCCGATTTTTGAGTGATCGGACCGATTTTGGCCTTCATCGTGCGTCGTGTAGTATACGTGGGGTAACGAGAAGCTGATTAACACCTCAGACAGCTCCCGATCATCAATCGCTCGTGAGGCACCGCTCACACTGCTCAGCGCGCAAACACGTAAACGTCGGTGAAAAAGACGGAGCAGCACGGCTGTGCAGCGTGTGATCTGGACACAAGCGATGGAGGCACAACTTGTAGAACTTTGGAAAGCTCATCCGAGCCTTTTCATGTGGCCTCACAAAATTATCACGACCACAGCAACCTGAAAATAGTTGGATTACATCGCTGCTAAATCACAGCTGCCTGATCATGTTTTTCATTAGCAATTTAGCAAAGTTGATGGTGGTGGTGTGTCTGTGTGAGTGAAAGACGAGAGGAGAGCGAGCGACAGAATTTTCTGTTATAACCTTCATTTTATGGAGGCACAGTGTGAGCACTCAGGTCGCATCAGAGCATCGGGCGGTATAGTGTGAGACCTGCATCGTGACCTACCAACTTCTAACCCCTGCGAGTCATCGTCAGTTTAGCAGCGAATGCACTGAAAAAATCGCACAGTGTCTGCCCAGCTTTAGGTGTACTGTCGTCCGAGACTTGCACCGCAGTGTCGGCGTTTGTTTCCCTGTTGGCCATGCTTCTTGTTGTGGTCATCTGTTGTCTTCCGGTATTTTCTCCGTAAGCGACCTTTCCTCGACCAATGAGATGAGCGGTAATCTGAATTGTCATACTCGAATTGTCATAAGTGTGCTGTCAGCTCATTGGTCACAAAGCAGGAGAGGGGCTGGGAATTATGTTTTCAAACAAAGTGTTAATTCCATTAAAAGTTATAGACTACTTTTGATTCTCACTGTATTACGGGACAAAGTGCGTCCCTTATTAGCTCAATACGGGACGTGTACTTTTGTTTCGAAATACGGGACGATTCCGTATTTTAAGGGACGGTTGGCAACCCTAGCTGTAGGCATTCTGTGTGTGTGTGTGTCCCAAATTACTGCTGAGAGTTATTCCAAAAGCTACCTTTAGTGGCTCTTCATCAGAATATTTATTTACTTGTTGACATGAAAATCAGTCACTGTGTATTTTTAACACCTAAAATTCAATGTGATGCCATTATCCTGCCAAACAACATAAAAGTCTCCAAAAAGGTTAAGTATGGAACATATTATAAATGGAAAATCTTATATTGCACTCTAAGCACAACAAATGTGAAATGGCAGGAAAGATCAGTGCTCTGTTGCTGTATGCAGAGTACATGTGTACATTTTTCAGAGTACCAAAAAACACATTGCCTTTGCAGACTGATGATCAAACACAGAGATAGAGGTCGCAGAAAAATTACAAATACCTGCACGTTGCTGTCTTATGTCATTCAGTCACCTAAAGGTGGTAAGTTTGACCTTTGTCATCATGACTAGGTCTGCATGCCTACTGTAAATGCACCGATTTCCAGTCGTGTGACTGGCTGATTTGTCTTAATGAGCAGTTGAGCAGCTGTACCTAAGTTACCTGATTTTAGTCATTAGGCCTTTTATAAAGTATTACTGCCATTTGTGTCTTAATATTTCTAGTAACACTACTGTAACTGCAGTGAGCACGTGAGACATCCCTTTTTATGGAAAAGGAAGGAAAAGTCATATTTATTATTATTACACAGACTGTTTGTGCTGACTGAACAGGCTCAGGCTGAAGCAGTGCAGATCCTGGCCTATTTTCAAGTATCATTAAAGTTACCACGTGTTTAAATGTCACCATTAGATGTCAGTAGATTGCAGATTGCAGTCAATTCAGGCACTTTTCTTATCCCTCCTGACTCAAGTGCATAAACTGATCTACGTTAGCTCTGGTAATTCTGACGATCGTTCAGTAATTTTTTGTTTATTCTCTTTATTTGCTTTTTGGAGAAGTGAAGTTACAAAAAGCTCTTCAAACAAATTTGCTTTGGTGAAGAGAAAACAACCGTTGTAGACTGTTTGTGGTTACCTTTTATAAATGTGGGACTAGTATTGAATTTTCAAAAGTGAAGTCAGTTCTTCTGACCAGGTTCAGACCAGGATGAACACAAGTACTGAACCCACTAGAGAACCGCTCCCAGCTGTGGGTTCACCTCCTCCTGCTGAACTCATAGAGCTGCACACAACCAGTCCAGGGACAGACTCTAATGTAGCATCACTTTCATCGGTCACTCCTGACCTCCTGTGAAGCATGACGAATGTGGCCTCTCTAAATGTGAGTAACTAAGAAAACATGTCAGTAGGCATCCTAGTAGTTAATGACTTAATTATTTGGGGTATTATTGCTATAAAAAATAATATTAACAGTATTATTATTATTGTGCTTCTGGCTTTAGGCTCTACTGATAACGCAGAGGTCTCTTCTTCCTCTGGGCTGTTTAAAGGGCCAGTTTATCCAAATCTGTGTATATACCAGCTGCTGTCAGGCTTCAGATAAATAAACATAAATAAACATCAGACTGTCAAAAGAGCTCATCTGTGCGAGACCACCGAGCTGAGAGCATTTTCAGGTCGAGATCCCCCGTACGCCATCGTTGGAGAGCAGTTAAAGTTTTTCTTCCTGACTGTGATTTGAAAACGTCGAAATGGAATCAAGTCAAGGAATCTATAAACCTATCAGGGTATGTGACCGTTTTAGTTTTTACTGCATTTCAATAATTTGAAGAATTTGTTGTAGTTTTAAAAGTTGACAAACTGAGAATCCTTTTAAGTAACAATGACTAAATTGCTATTTCTTTGACAGGTGTTGTTCAACACACCGATTTATGAAACAGCTCTAAAGATCTGCTGGCATCTTCCGGGCTACAGGACTCAGGTTAGACCCAGATTCATGCAAACCAAAGCTGACAGAAAATATCAGGTCATTTCTGAGGACCTGAGAGTGGTGGTGATTAAATGTCTCCTTTACTTTTAGATTGCGATTATGACGGAGTTTCTCAGACTTCAGCAGGAAGATCTAATTCCACCGAACCTCACTGCTGAAGATCTGAGAGATCTTTTGGTGGAGAAGAGCCGGGAGACACTCAGAGAGCAGTGAGTTACTGTCACACCTGAAAGTCTGTTTGTGATGACGTGCAAAACCTCTGCTTTGCTTTCTTTTGAAGGCTGTGGGAGTTTGAATTAGAGGATTTTGAAGAAGAGGAAGCCAAACCTCTTCTAAGGCTGGTAAGACGAGAAAACCCACAAGACTTTGGAAATTTCTTTTTTCATTATGTTCACATAACCTTTACACATAAGCGCACTGTAAATGTGTTTTCTGTTTCAGGTGTGGGCGGTGAACGTCAGCAATAAAATGAGGGACGTTGAATTTGAAGCCAGGATGCTTCTTCAGTTCCCAGAGGCCGTGCCTCCTAAATTTCAGTGAGTCACATGTATACAGTCATTAACCCTGTACGACCCAACCCATCAAAAAACAGCCAGAAAATTCAGATTCTTTGGAACTGAGATGTTTATTAACCCTTTAAACAAAAGCCACAAATTAGTTCTTTGCTATGTCATGTTGTGTATGATTTACTTTTATTAGGTATTTATCATATTTTTTGTATCGCATTTGACACACTGGGTGTTTTTGGCAACTTTTTGTTAACGACAATGTTAATTTTAGACAAAAAAAACTTTTTTGTCCATAATATTTTGAAATTATAGCAAGTATTGATCATGTTGATGAGATCGAGGTCTCAGAAACTCATGTATGATACAAAGGTGGTTACAGGGTTAACAGTCCAGCTACAGTGTTTCAATATTTAAGTGATACTTTGAATATGTTTAAAAGATACCTCTTATCATGTTTTTCTACAGAGCACCTAAACTCCTGAGCGTGGTGAAGGATTACATTGAAATCCTGAAAGAGAAGCAGCAGGAACAGCATAACAGCAAACTGCTCACCGTGCAGGAGGTAGTGATCGAGGTAGTTCCCCGTGTTCTCCAGGGCTTCTGGGAGCTTCCTCCTCGTCCCCTCCTAAACATGGCCTCCCAGAGTCTAAGTATCCTCTCCACGAGTGTCACCAAGGCCACTTTAGATCGTGTCTCCAGGAGTCTCACGGCGATGGAAACACAGGCCATCTTCACCCGCTCTATCCGAGACGATATGGTCAACAGCATCCTGACTGAGATCAGGCAGAAATTTTCTCAAGAAATTCTGTCTATCAAAGTTGCAAACTTTGCACCAGTGTTGCTGAAGACCATTGCTGATGTAGTAATGATCCAGATATGTGAAATCTTTGAGCCCCCTTCAAGCCTTCCTGATGTGAAGAACACAAATGGAGAGCGCTCCTCTGACGGTCTTTTAATGGCAAATGTTCCACCAGCCGAAGGATCTTTTTCAGAAAGTGTTCCAGAGCCTGACGTTCCCTGTGAGGAACTTCTTTCTGAAAGTTCATCTAGTCTGAAGGCTGAAGACCTTACGATTGAAGGTCTTTCAGAAAGTGTGGCAGTGGCTGACGTTCCCCGTGAGGAACCCTATGCCGAGTCCAAATCCAGTGTTAAAGGCGAAGAGCATAAGATCAAAGGATCTCGTTTGGAAATTGGGCCAGTTCCTGATGTTCCCTGTGAGGAACCTTTTCCTGAACCCGAATCCAGTATGAAGTGCAAAGACCTTCAGATCAAGAAGAAGAAAAAGGGCTTCTTCAAAAGACTGAGAAGTCTGTTCTGCTGTTGTTGCAGACCAAAGGACACAGACTGACATTGAAACTGTGACCCAGTGTTGGTGTTCCAGTAACTGTAAATATGTAAATATGTTCCTTGATGATTGTTGTTCATGATTTTGGAGTTTAAGTTTTCAGTGGGCTGGGTGTTTTTTCCCCCTTCGTGTTCTTTACTTAATTCTTGTTCATAGTTCCTGATTTGTTTTCCTAGTGCTTGTTTCTTAGTTTTTAGTTTCTGGAGTCCAGTTGAGTTGCTATATGAGTTTTGAGTTTTCTTTTTTGTGACATTTATCTCTAATGAAAATGTTTTTCCAGCAATAAAAGCTGCCGATTTAAGTTTCATTCCACGTAAGAGTCCTGTGTTTGGGTCCTACTACCTGCCTGTCACAACACAAATCCAGTTTTATAAACTCATTCATATTTCTACACGAGTCTCCATCTATATTCAAGATTTTTTTCTTTCAATTTGTAAGTGTCTCTTATGGTTCTCAAAATACTTCCACAAGTCCAGTAACATAATACATTGATGGTATTCATTTAATACAATTTCAACCCATTCTGATAACATATGAACAACAGTAACTGGTATATAAAATGCATTGCCTGTCAAAAATGCAGTGTGAATGCTAATAGCTGAATAGTTTGAATTTTTAGAATTGCTAAAATCTTTGGTGAAAAACATGTTTCATGGGCTGAAATACACCAAAACATTCATCTGACAAATTTTTCTAGTTAGACATTATGAAACATGACATGTAAAAGTGAATTTTGCCAAAGTTCTAGTCAAAGTTCTAAGATAGTAGTTTTGTTTTGATTGTTTTTCTTAAAAAAAACAACAACAAAACAATCAAAACAAAACTACTACATCATGTATAATTTTCTCATGGCATGTGTAATTTCCATTGCAAATATTAATCACAGTTAAAGTAAGAGGGGAAGGCAGTAAAAACTCTGGAACGGAGACGTCATCAAGTACACTGTCGTTCAAATTGTAAAATGATCGCGCTGCGTTCCTGGGAAGTCCACACTCGCGTGCAAACTCATTAGCGAGAACAAGTACAAACTCGGGTACTTGAGAATTGAGAAACAGTCCGAGAGTTTACAGCAGAAAACAACAAGTTACACATACTGTTTCAGACACTTTATTGGGGCCGTAGCTGTTCATAGTAAGTCATGATTGCTTTGGTAGCACTCACTAAGAGCACCGTTACTCCCAGAAAGCCTATTGATCCAGCCACAATGGCGATTACAGTCATGTACTCTGCCCCTGGAAAGAGATGGATATAGGTTCATTTCATCAAGTCAAGACATATTAGAAGATCAGTGACAGTGTATATCAGGACTGCCTTTTTTATATGAACCAAGTAGAATTGAAGTTAAAACAAAAAACTAACAGAAATGCATTGATGCATTGTAATCTAAGAATGGTTATGGAAGCAGATGCAGATTCTTTTAGGAGTTCAGTCTTGAATTTGAATGAATGAACTGAATGATCCCTTGACAAGCTTACAGTAAGACGGTGTAGCTGACTTCACTCTTGTGTTGACAATCAAAGGTCCAGCAGACACGACAGCAGCGTGTTTCCCCTCACTCTCCATTTGACTCACGGACCTCTTTGTGTACTGCTTGCCAGTGCATTTCTGCAACAGAATGAGAGTCAACTTTAGACTCATGCAGAAACACAAAACAAACAAACAAACTTACTTCTGAAATCTGGATAGAATAAGGTAAATAAATTTAACACAAATCTGACTGAACCACAGCAGCATGTTAAATGAGCAATAATGGTCACCTAAGGGAATTTCATGTGCCTGTAGGTTTTTGTAACCTAAAAGCTTTGAGCTCTTGTCTTCAGAGTGTACCGGCACTTTAAAGATTCCAACAGCTGATATCAAATCCAAGTGCAAAGCTGACCACCTCAAAATGGGATTTGGCTGAATCTCACTGTGGCCTTATTTGGCAAAATAGCCAAACTAAATGTTCCACAATAAATGTTTTGGAAACTTACAAAAAAAGATATTTTTTCCTCTATTCATAGAAACCAAACTAAAATAAGAGTCCTACTCCAAATAAAAACCGAAGTGGCAAAGTGCATGAAAAACAACCTGTCAAAACTTACAGCCATGACTATATGAATGTTGTTTCAGTATAATGACAGCCAAGCAGGAAACAAAATGCACTGCGACTGACATGCAGTGACACACACGTGCAGTAGTTGTTGCATGCCAAGACACAATCAGAGTGGGGGCAGAAACAAGACAATGTTCCCACCTGTCTGTCCCTTTTGTCTGAGTAACCTGTAGCCAGACACTTACATCAAATGGATGAACTACATTATTTTACCAAGTGCATCTCAAGCTTGAAACAATTGGCCATTTTACCAGTCGACAGTCTTCATCATGTCCACATATGCTGGCCAGGCAGTGGAAGTAAAGAGGTAACTTCTTAGGCATGTTGAACATCTGAATGGAAAACCTGCTTCTATGTGCCAGACCGTTCACAGACAGCCAGTGGAAAGTGGGGTCAACAGGACAACTGAAAGGCATACGCAACAAGGAAGAAACACAAGCGTGTGGTTAGATTTAGCAATCCCAACCTTTCAAAATGTATCTTCTGAAAGTCATCAAGTCTGTGGGCACAGAGGAAGCAGACTTAACAGAGCAACTGAGAAAGCTTGAGACATACACACGCACACAGTATGATATCTATAACCATACAGTTTTAAAAAGGTTTATTCTAATAATATAAAAAAAGAAGAATAGCTATTTGGTATGTTCAAAGTCTAGCCCATTCATTGCCAGCTGCATGCTCAGCAATGGATCCTAGTTGTCAAACATAAAACGAGATTTCATGAATACCCATCTTGCAAAAGGACGGCCTGGGTAGGGTCGTGAGGGTCGATGCTCTCAGTCGTCCAGCACGACTTCACCTGCAGGAGCAGGTCTACAGCAAAAGAGCCGTTTGTCTCCAGAGCCACCTGGAAGAACAGTGTGTCCTCGAGTTCCAGGGTTATGGCATCCCTGTAACTGTTTGTGTAAGACTCATCCCTGTACAAGGTCATTTTCAGGCCCAGGTGCACTGACGAGTTAAACTCCACCAAGGTCATGGAAGTGAGCCTACAAGCAGAGAGTCAGAGAGCTGAATCAGGATCAGAGAGACTTTATTTATCCCCAAGGGGCAATTAAAAAGTCATTTTCTTTCATGTTGCCCTGATTTACAGTACATTATGATAAAAAGAAAGCACACCTGCCTCACTTCACTGAAGTTTGCATGGATTTGTTCATGCACAGCCCGTGAAAGCACTACCACAGCATTCCCAACAGGTTTAACCTCTTAATTTAAACGTATTCCAGTATTCCTCATCCTACATTAAAGATTACTACTACCCCCCTCACCTTCATTGCAATGAGTTTCTCATCTAAGACCAACAAAACATATTTTGGATGCATCAGGGGAACAAATATTCAGACACATGATTTTAACTGGAATAACAGACATTTTTTGGTAAAACTTTTGGCTTCATATTTGTCTTTACAATAATTTGGTAAGGAATGTATGGTCAACTCAATGACTGCAAGGTGCTCGGGTCCTGTGGCTACATAACTAGACAAAATCACCAACCTTCCAAAGGGTGTACATTATGGCAAAACATCCACACTTTGGTTTCATCTGTCTAAAGTCTTGCAGTTGGTTCTACGAGTTTTGTAAACATAATCCATGCTTCCATATTTACAAAAAGGCTGAACAAGTCATATCTGCTCAGCCTTTCCCCCCTAACTGTACTGTTCTGAACTTTGAGGCCTGTAGAGTCTGAGATGCAGCTCTTGGGCGTTTTGCAGTTTCTGAACACTGCAGTGTGACCTTGGGACAGATTCTACTCCCGAGAAGATATGCAAACATCTTGAATGCTTTCCATTTGTGATACTGAAGACTTCAAATTGCTCCCACTGATCAAAGATCAGAAGATTATATTGATCTTTGAGAAACAAACTTTGCTGCTGTTGTCTTACTTTTTTAATCCCTATGGAAACATTAACAGTGTTTTCACACATTGCTTCTGCATTTTGGCTTAATTTTTGTATATAATGTAGTCTAATATGTTTTGTAGTTTCTATGAGGTTGCATTTACTTAAACCCAAAACTGGTAATTGTATGAATATTCCTACAAACACTGGGATTTGATGAATCTCACCATTCCATATCCACGCTGACTTGAGCATTGCGGACATAATGTCGTGGGTAAACGCACTTCCACACCACTTTTAGGTCCCGCCTGCTGATCATCTGCCCTTTGGTCAAAGTGACACTCAGAGTATTCTGGAAGTTGATGTGAGTTTTGTTAACCTAGACAAAACCGACAAACAGAAATAAAACTCAAACCACAGGTATGAGGGGAAGGAGTAAAAAAGAAAAAGAAAGAAAGAAAACTGCACGTACAAGTGCAGCAGGTAGATTTTCCATTATTGTAAAACTCAGCAAATTTGACTGCACACAGCTAAACAGATGCATTCAAGTTGGGAAAACAAACCCTAATTTGAGTATACATCATATCACTTGGTGAGCAACAATTTTCAGACTATTGTTAAATAAGATTATAGGACTCAGGATGCTTTATGCAGACTATGATTCATTAATTATCCAGCAATTATCCAGTCATGAAGTAGGCAGTGGCACCCACCACATGCGTTTGCCTTACAAAACAAAGATCACTAGGACTGCACAAAAATACAAAATCTTTCCATCCCTCACCTGTGGCATGACATGCATATCACATAATGCTGTGCAATCAATCCTGTCGAGGGCAAATATTCAGAGGTCACCGATGTATGCTAGGCTGACAACTTAGGATACTGAGTGAAAACTAACACAGTGTCTTTTTTAATATTGGTAAGAAATCTGTCTGGCAAACAAAGCTTTCGGAGCTTCTTGCTGAGCTTAGTTACTCACCTGCTTCTCGGTTCCACATTCAGAGACTTTTCGTGAGGTACGGAAGTAGTACAGTGTCTCACTCTCATTCACAATGCAGCGACCATCATTCAGCTTCACTGCAACTGCTCCTCCCATGCGAGAATGCAGGTAGGGCTTTGCTATTACACCAGCCATCAATTTATCCAGACACCGGCTGAGGAGACCTTTTTCTGTTTGAAATCGAGGGTCAAAAAACAAAAACCAGCAGCTGTACTACTACACAAGCATTTATTTTTTTTAAAGGATGAGCTTTTAAAATAAAATACATAGGTTTAAGAGATTGATGAGAGGTCTCTGTACCTTGGCAGACTGGATGTGAAGCTGGAGC